TTAAGATAAGCAATAATCTGTTTTGCTTTGTAATGTATGAAACAATAAGTTCTGCTGCAATTGATTAACTGACAAGACTCAATTTAGGTGTTTAGTTATAAAATATATTTATTGCAACTATTCAGCATAACTTATAAAACAGTGGAGGTTATGTATATTGTGGACTATTATATGACAGTTCACTGTAATTTTATAGCTGATTATAAACCTTATACGTCCCCAGCTAATTACTAAAATTTACATACTATATATTGTCAATTCCTAAACTGTAGCCATTTTGTTAAATATCCTATATTTAAACTACTTGTCCTTATATCAGAGTTAATGAAATATCCGAGGTGTTGCTTGTCAACATTAATTAGCTGTCATGGTGCAGGATCCCCAGGGATGGCCGTGATGCTCCTAGGGCTCCAGGAACATGCCAGCTTCACCCTGCAGGCACCTTCTAGTCTCAAATGCCACATCTTGTTGGTTGAAATAGTAAGTTGGGAGGCTGACCACGAGTTTGTTTAGTCATGGTCCTGCTGCACCCCACTAGATCCTGCTGCCTTTGGATCCCTTGCTGGAACTTACTCAAAGTCTGTACCTCTCGAGACACCCTGAGCCTTATGGGCTAGATGCGTGGGTCCAAAACCACCCCTTTACCATGTCTCATAGGTGGTATTCAAACATTGTCTTTGAGGCTTTAGTCTAGCTCGGCCTCCTGCCATCACCGAGACCTTTCTATGGCCCAACATAAATATGAGCCCCTGGCCTATAACATAATACAAGTAATAATACCAATGACACTGGAGGCCACACCCTGTACCTTTAAGATGGCCAGTTTCCCCCTCAGCAATGTGTGCCTCCTATCCCCAGGTACTTAAGGAGCTCCTGGAGCCCATTAGTCTTACCAGCAGCCATACAGGCAGCCAACCATCTCCATAGAACTTTTCTGCATAAACTCCTTTCCCTCTGGCTACTGCCAGAGAACTGACTGCCCCCAGCCCTGAGGTTTATATGTGCCCAGGGCCCTGCCTTCTTCTGGTCAGCTGACCAGGTGCAGGTGCTACCTAATTCCCTCATTAGCCTGCTGCCATGGTAAACTTCACCTGTAGGGTGGTTCTGCCTGGCTGTTAGGGCCCTCTCTCTAGGCAATTTCTGCCCCTAAGGAGCAGGCACACCTTAGTGCCCTGCAACATTAGCTTATTTAAAATTATGGGCCAAATTCTGAAAGAACTCCTAATAGCACCACTCCATAGGCCAGAAAAAAAAAGATAAAACATCTCACATTTAAAGAAAAATGTTAGATTACTAAAAAATAAATATATTGACAAAAAACCTGTGGTACCCATCCTCACACCTAGGCTAAGGTCAATCTTACCATGTCTGCATCACAATGGCAGGAAAGGTCATAAACACAGGTACAACCTTCTCCCGAATCCACCCACTGCTTCAACCCTCAAAATAATGCCAAGAATAGTAGCAGCAGCAAGATCCCTCTAGCATCTTTATAGACAAACTTGGGTTGGAGAGTATCAAACAACTGTGGTTGTAGCATCCTTAGGTATATGCTGACAGCATGCTGCTGTTGCAGTTTAGATATGGCCTCCCTCATCTATATCAGGAGTCATCTCTATATTCCTGTGGTCTGATTGGCTATCCTTTCCATGATCATCATGAGGCCATAAAACAGAGGAAGCAGAAATTTGATCAGTTGTTTGAGGGACTTACAGGGAAGCAACAAAACTCTTTCTCAGCATTGCCTGTCCATGAGCCAATGACTATAACTCCTGAACTTTCTTTGCATTAAATGCTTATCCTCAAAAGCCTGAATCATGACTATGACCTTAGACCTTTCCTCTTGTCTGATAACTAGCATAGGCAGAGCCTTCTAGGCAGACAACTGAAAAATTCCATTTTCCAAAGGAAGATTTTTTTTCTATTTTTAATTTCTGTCCTGCACCAATGTTGAGGGTTTGTTTGTTTGTTTTTTTACTCTAAATGCCAAATCAGGGCATTTATATTATTTCTCAAAACCTCATTATTTTCCACACAACAGAAATCCCATTATATATCTAGCTCTAAACATAGTACAAAGCAGCACACATTTTCAGAAAAGAGATTCATTTGTTTTTCTCTTCTTCAGTAAGACTTAAAACCTTTATCAACCCTAAAACAACACACACAAACATTTTCACTAGTGCTTCAACTACCTATTGTAGACAAGGTTTTTGGAATCACTGAGAGTTCCTATATACTATGGGCACCTGTACATGTGCAGCACATGAGATCAGACTTGATTAATTGAGTCTGCTGTAATGTGGTAATTACCATGCTCCAGCAGACTCCAGTGTCATGTGTATCAGTGTCCCCATGCTGAAAAATGGCAGTAGGAGTGCTTTAACTCAATCTCATTGAATGAGCTTTAGTTAAAACTCTACCACCAACATTTTTCAGTGCGGGGACCCACATGTGAGGGTCTGGATGGTGTAATTAGAGCAGCTCTCAAAGCCACTCTAATTAAAGTGCCCTCCCCCCACACTGACAACACATGTATAAACACTCACAGTCTTTTCTTTACTGTGTTACCAAATCATAATTTTGCTCAAGAAATGGCAGTTTTCCAAGGCAGGGAGAATTAGTTTTGGGAGAAAAAAAAGGTTATTTAAAAAAAATAAAAATATTTTTGGAGAACTTATAAAAACCTGCCCTTCATTTTATTTGAGCCCCTTTTCATACATTAATATCCTTCTGCTTCATCTTGTTCTGAACCTGGGATATATTCATTCCCATGCTCTAGACCAGAACTGATTTCAGTGGGACCTCATTACCTGCTTCTTTTCTGCCTGACAATGCTCCCATTTTATAGGTACTTGTTCTCTGTCCTTTAACCACTTTCTTTTAAATGAATAAGCCAATCTCTTCTATAGTGACTCTAGACCTTACACACAAATGTCTGATATTAAAGGCTTCCTGAACTTTTAAGTAGGATGTCTACACTGTGTTCTCTTTGTCTACCCTGACAATAATATTCTCAATGAGAACTAACAAATTAGTAAGGCATAACCTTCCTTTTTCAAATTCATGCAAGTATCTCTTAATCAAGCTGTGCTTTTCTGTGCATTTTCTTACCTGATGGCTTAAAATAGTTTTGAATACTTTCTCTACAAATTGAAGTTTTACTATTTGGTCTTTAATTTCCTGCTGTGTCCCTAGGCCTTTTCTTAAATAGTGGTGTTCTGTTGGCTTTTCCAATTTCTGTTCCCATTTCCATTAACACTCTAGGGGGTTGTTCACTTCTGAGACCTTTATCAATTTTCAGAGCTTCTAATTTTTTAATGGTAGTTTAAAGTTGTATTTGTTGTTGTCTTAACCTTTATATGTTCCCAGGAGGTAATTTTCTACCCCAGACACACATTTTGTGCAGTATCTTAATGTAAATTAAACCTAAAAATTTTTTTTTTTACTACATTGTCACTGGCACTGTAGTGCACAATATCCCCAAAGAACAGCCAGCTTACATGAACGGTTTGCTCTCTGTGGATGAAAAACTACTCAGGGTAATGTGTTACCCCAGACAAGAATGTATTTTTCCATATGGTGTAACATCTTATCCCAAACCCATGTTAATGCTTTGGGGTAACACTGCGTTAACATGGGTTTGGGGTAAGTCATTCCCCTACATGGAAAAATACATTCATGCCTGGGGTAACACATTACCCCAATGTATTTTCTGTATAAGTAAAAGGCTTACACCTGTTTGGCCACTTTGAGTGGATGTATCTGAAAGGTCAGCATTCATTCACATCTCATTCAGTCCACTTCAGGTATTCACGGTAACTAATGAATGGCCATCCTCTGCTCTGCCTTTCTTTTGATGGGGAATTCACCCTAGTTTCCTATGTTCCAAAGAAGTCAAAAGTTGTGCTGTTACTGTCAAGCATGCACCATGACCTGTCAGTGGGTGGAGAGCAAAGAAACCCAGACATCATCCATGACAACAGTAAAAACAAGGTTGGGGTGGATACACTTGACCACTTAGTCCACATGACTACCTGCAGACAGAAAATTAACAGGTGGCCAATGACACTATTTTTCAATATGATGGATGTGGCTACCACTGCCAGCCGCATCACTTGTCTAGGCTACAACACAAACTGGAAGCAAAGATCACATTTAAGAAGACAGCACTTTTTTTTTGCAGGAGCTTGAACAGTTGATCAAAGGACAAATAAAAGTAAGACTGATGGATACACATAATCTGTCTAAATCCGTCAAGTCTGGTATGACTGTCCTAAATTACAAATTGCCACAATGCACCTGAGTAGAACCTTCTGCATGCATGAGTGGACATTGTGTTTTTTGTCCACGGACAGATGACCACAAAACCCGGAAACAATGTGAAGTTTGTAAGTGATTTGCTTGTGTGCACCACAGTACTTTCCTGCTGCTTTGTATGGAATCCAATATTTATTTAAAACAGTTAGGAAATGTTTTTGGAAGTAACTGCTAGTTTGAAAACAGTGTGAACTGCAACTGCAAACTTAGCAAATTGTTCATTCACATTTTGAACTCTAAAAAAAGTTTAAATTTTGTTCATAGCTCTAGTTAAATAATATTTTGGGTTCAAATTATCATAAATACTTTTTCAAACAATCTGTGTGTTTAATAAATAGGTTTTGGTACATTTACTGTTGTCACTGGTTCCATTCTGTTCATGAAGGTGGGATAACAAGGTGAGACCAACAACGGTTATGGTTTCATGAGAATGGATGAGGGTTAATTCATCATCATTTCTCTGCTGTTCATTTGACTTTAGGTAAAATTTTCAGTTTAGCCATTTGGAAGACATTTGCAAGATTTGTATTTATTTATTTGTTGCCATTTTCTTATCTTGTGTATTTACACGGATACTTCTTAAAGAAAGAAATATTTGTCGTGACATTTGTTTTATTTAAATGCATTTAAGAAATGCTTACACACATAAAATTTAGGTAGATTTTCCATCCGTCTCATATGTTCTTTCTCTATCTTGCTTACTATTGTTTTGCTTCACAATTAATGAGTATGGGAAACCTAGACAATGATAATGGAGCCATATCAATACCTAACTATATTTGTAGGGGGTTATGCTGTACATAAGAACAGTTGGTGCCATTCTTAATCACTTCTATCATCATACTTACCTCCTTTGACAGAAAGGAGGAAATTGACTGTATGGGGAAATTCCTGCTTTTGCATCTTGAGGGAGAGGACAGAATGTGAGTTTTGCTTCTAAAAAAGGAAATGGAAAGGTACAGAGATGAGAGAAATCCTTTGTTTTATTTTCTTCCTTCATAGATTGGCCATCATGGGTATCCTCTTAAGTTTTCTATACTTTCTTTTCCCATCCTCCCATAAATTTATTTAAATTTGGGGGTTTTGTTTGTTTGCTTGCTTTTGTTTTAAATGCAGTAAATTTTCACGTGTCTACCACACTATTTCCTGCCACATTAATTTAGTAATATTGAAAGCATTGCTACCTAAGATAGTAAACATGATTTGTTACGCTTCAGATCCCTTTCTGCAGCAGGTAGCACAACCTCACAAGGTAGTGGAATAAACATCTAGCAATAAATAAATAATAAATAGATAAATAAAT